CAATATTACTTGTTCCACAAAGTTATCTATAATGGAATTTAGAAAAAGATTGGCACAAGAGTTACTTGTTACTCCAGTTGCATACGAAAACACCACTACTCCCAAAAAAATTATCCATACTTTTGTTAAACCATCAGGACCTGGAAAGAAAAGGAGAAGACAATGCCAAGGATGATATCATAAATTAAGAGAAACACATTCAAGCAAACAAGCAAGTAATATGGTGACAAAAGTAACAAGTTATTGCAATGAATGTCCTGGTCAACCAGGAATGTGTTTATTTTGCTTTAATAGCATTCATAAAAAATAGTTTATTTTTCTGAAACTGTATTGTTTTTTGTTTAATAATTAAGAAAAAATTGTTTAATTTCCTGAAACTTTATTGTTTTTTGTTTAATAACTAATAACATATTATTTAGTTTAGGACATATTTTTTGTTTTCAAATATCATTTACACTAATAAAATATTAAGAAGTTTTGTATCATTTACTCTTTTAATTTAAATCTGTAAAAAAATAGTAGCTGTCTTGACACTTCAAAAATATTCTTAACAGGAAACCTGATCAAAAAACGAATGACAATGGTAAGTTTTTAAATGTTTTTACTTTTAATAATTGATCTTCAAACTCTTATAATTTATATTGTAAAACTGTAGAAATAAAAAAAAATTACGTCATTACCGGTCCCCGACGGTCGGTAACGCACCGTGTTTGCGCCAAGCCACCGGTCCCGGGGGACCGGTAATGCACAGTTTAGAGGTTTACATATTTTGTGAACGCAGTCAACCTGTTAATGCCCAATATTCAAAACGGATGGCATGAAATTTTGGTTTTGATTTTTGGGAACAAATGCAAGGCATTGCAAATATACCTAAAAAATGCTGAATTTAAACATGCATATTACAAACGATATAAAATATTTACAACTGTTTTTCTTATACTAAGTTGGAAACCACATATTAAACAATTGACGATATCATGTCAAAATGGTATAAATCTTCTTAAATGTTTAGCCAACAAACAATGGGGTGTCGACGGAGATACATTATTACTGTTTTATAGAAGCCTAATCAGATCAAAATTGGACTACGGGTGCATTGCATATTCTTCAGCGTCGAAGTCAAATTTAAAAATCTTAGACGTTATACACAACAATGCATTACGCATAATCTCTGGAGCTTATAGAACAACTCCTGTTGCAAGCCTCGAGTGGGAACTTGGAAAGCCGTCATTACATGAACGACGGAAATTACTTAGTCTATCTTACGCTTCAAAACTAACATCACTCTATTTGCCTACTTTAAATTTAGAACTATCATCATATCATAAATCTGAAACTAATTCACAAATATTTATGAGCAATTATAATAGAATACTTTCTTCTTTCATTAAATATACCCAAGTTTACACAGATGCATCTAAAACAACTTCTGGTATACGATCATCCTTTGTTATAAGAGACATAATAAAAAGTTTCAAATTGCCCACAGAACCCACTGTGATAACTAGAGAATTGTATGCAATATACAGAGCTCTAATTCACATACAAACAGTCAAACCAGATAAATTCCTTATTATTACTGACTCAATCAATTCCCTTCATATACTGTCAAAAATGTACACTTGCAACCCGTAAGCTAAATTAATTCAAAACAAGATGCAGCAGCTGGAAAACAAAACATTAGTCTTCGTGTGGGTACCATCACATATAGGCATTAAAGGAAACAAACAAGCTGATAAAAATGCTCGACAAATAGCAAATTCCCCAAATATCAGACCGATAATAAAACCATTACCAGAAGATCTCAAGCCGTACTTTCAACAAAAGCTGATATGAAATTGGATTAAATGTTGGGAAGAAAAATCCTCAAAGTTAAAAGAAATTAAACCAAATTTTGGACGATGGACTAACAATGCCTCTTGCTGTTTCCTTCAGGTTGTATTAACCAGGCTCCGTTTAGGACACAGCAACCTCACACATGAATATCTCATGAAGAAGGAACCCCAACCAAAATGTACGAGTTGTGACGTGCCGTTAATAGTGAAACACGTATTAACGGAGTGTCCCAAACATAGTGCTGAAAGACTAACTAATAAAATTCAATCAGTTATAAGGGACATCTTTAATGAGTGTACCAGTGAAAATATTGTGAAATTTCTTAAAGACATTAATATTCTTAACAAAATATAATATTTATTTATAAGTTACTTATCTCATATTTATGTTTATATGTCGCTAATAACCCCAGAGGTTGATGCGACCATGTTTGTAAATAAAAAAAAAAATCTGTTTTTTTTTTCGATTACACAAATACGTTTTTGTAAACAACACTACTTCAGCTAAAAATTTCACCCAATGTCGTCTTTATGGAAGTATTTTTCCTGACGTGCAATCGTGTGCAAGGTGAAAGTTTCAATTCAGCGTTTTTAGGCATATTTGAAATGCTTCACTTTTGTGTTCAAAAATAATTTAAATTAAAAATTTATGCCATAGGTTTTAAAGATTGGGCTTTATAAATGAAAATTACTTACTTACGGGTTAATGGAAAAGTGATAAACTTTAATAATCTTATGAGAATCGTAAAAAATGGCAAAAATTCTGCAACGTTTATTTATTTAACACTTTTATAAAATATGTAAATAAAAGTGGAAGCAATGCAAATGTCATAGTTATTATACACCATTTTGACATACCTTTTCAAGAGAAATAGACATTTTTAAAATCAATATGCTTAATTGTGTTATTTTAATATAACGAATAATGTAGAAAACTTTTATAAACATTAGAAAAAGAAAAAAATTACTGAGTTAAAATGCAAACTACGCATAACTTATGTTAGTCGAAAAAAAAAATTTTGCATGAATATGGTATGGCAGAAAAAAATCCTTCCAGAACAGAAGAGGCGGCAGAAATATATTTACAATTAAAAACAGGGACAGAAGTGACGAGATTAGAAATAAATATTTAATCAGGGTCTACAAAACTATTATCAGACCAATAGTATGTTATAGATGCGGGACATGGGTAATGACAGAAGATACAAAACGAAAGCAGAAACTCTTCTAACGAAAAGTCCTAAGGAAGATATTTGGACCTATTAACGAAAACGGAGTATGGAGAACCAGGTACAATCAATAACTACCAACTGTTCAAAGAGTAATTCGTTAAACTTCAGCGATTTCGATGGGCTGGTCACATAGTGAGAATTGAAACTAAAAGATTACCAAAAGAGCCCTAGATAGTAAAATGCGGAGTGCAAGACCAGAAGCAAGGCCACGGAAAAGGTGGGGAATGAAGTGGCAGCCGACGAAACTTGCTAGGCGTAAGAACCTTGAGAAGGTCGGCGCGGGACCGACAAGGTTGGAGGTATAGTTTGTAGGAAGCCAAGGCTCAATTTAAGCAGTAGTGCCATTGGAGAGAAATATAGAGAGATAAAATACGACACTTGCCAAACATTATTATAAAAAGATAATTTTTATAAATATATATACAAATTTAATCGACTATCAAAGGGTATGAATATCTGATGAAGATATAAATACTCGCTTGTCAGATAAAAATTGCTATATCTTTTTGATCATTGATTAGAATTTAATGTAGGTATAGCTAAAAAAGAAAAAACGAAACTTGCCATTTTGTTTATGATTAAACTTAAGAGCTTGCGAATATATTTTTTGCGAAGATATTCGTATTATATTGCGCCAAAATGAGAAATTAAAAGATTTAAGCATAGTTGAGATATCGCAGTTAAATACACTGACCGGTAAAAAAACAACACTTTTCATTTTTAAAACAAAAAATGGGCATTACTGCTTGATTCCTTGGTATAATTGATTTAATTTAGTTTAATTTAATTACCTTACTTTAGAGGGCTACAAAAGAAAATAGTGTAATATCGAAACGAATTACTAACAATAAAAATTACGAGTGAATGTAAACAAAATTGTCTAATATCGGGTCTATTATGCCCTAACATATCAATAACTATTTGTATATGATTTAAAAGAAAAAGGAACAAATTTTAAATAAAAACTTGAGGAGTACGTTCATATTATTTAACCCTCCGTTACTCGCGCGGGGTGTTGTGAACACCCCATGCGTATATAACTGTTAATATTTTCTACGCAATAATATCATCGTCGCCGTGCGCCTGTGTAGCTGCATATTTTCGTCGTCTTTACTACCTGGAGCCCTATTCACTAACTTAAGTGAGTGGTCGTGTAGGAGTTCTCTCTCACAATTTTGCTTTAATGCGCAAGTCACTCTCCTGAAATTGTAAAATCCGTATTCACGAAAATGTAAGAGAACGCTCATATACTCCTATGCGAGTACTCTCCTACTCTACTGGGTAAAACTAAGAGAATTGCGAAATTTTAAGAGAGTGGACATGCGCCGTAGAAATTATAATTGACAGAAGGCCAATAAAACGAAGAATATTGTATATTGTATACAATAGGTACAGTTTATATGAAAGGTTATTGAAATTTTAAAAAGATTGTTGACTCCTATTTGTATTTGGTTTTTATATATTGTTTTCATAATGGATGATGACGATATAATAATGTTAATGTTAATCGCCGATGTTGAAGAGGCGGAAGAACAAGCTGAAAATAATATACCACGTCTCTATTTCCAACGGGAAGACCCTTTTTTAATGTTATCTGTGAATTTTATTAAACATTTCCGTCTCAATAAAGACAGCTTTATATATCTTTGCGATGAACTAACGCCATTTTTACAAGTTCGCCAAAGAACAAATATAACTAATATAATATAACTAAAAGTTCTTAAAAGTATAAAATATAACTAAAAATATATAACTAATATATAACCAAAGAATATAGACCCTTAATATAACTCAAAGTTCTTAAAAGTTAAAAGTATAATAATATAATAGTTTATAAATAACGAGAACGAGAATTGACAAAATAAGTGATACAATCAGATACAACTAACCTAACAGCAAAAACTTTGCTTCTTCATTTCATTTTATCGTGAAAATGGTTGTGGCTAGGCCTACAGTAGGTACATTTGAACTAAATAATAGGTCAAAGTTACTCGTTCGCTTTGGCAACGCTGGGTAAAATGTAGTAGACTCGCTGAATCATAGTGAATAGGGTTTTTTAGCACCATGTGAGTGATGACCGAGAGAGTACTCACATCGATGAGTTGCCGTGCACGAGCACTCTCACGAGTTGCAGAATACGGATCCTGGAAGAATCTGATCAGTGTACTGTTAGTCGTTGTACCGTAAGCAAGTGCTTGGGGTGCTGCAAGCACCTCGCGAGTAGTTAAATTACATTTTGTTTATCGATATTTATTTTTTGCCGGTAAGTATATTTATTCTTTTTACACATATACGGTAGTATGAACATGTACTTTGTCTATATAATATTTCCAATATTATTTTTAGGAAAAATGGGCGAATATGAGGCCGAACAAGCGCGATTACTCAAACTTTTTGATGAATGTACGAGCGATGATGAAATACCATCAGAAGAAGAATATCATTCAGATGAAGAATTGACTCAAATACGAAGTGATTCTGAACCAGATAGTGAGCATGAAGTTATGAATGAATCTTCTAGTGACGAGGACTTGACAAGTGATGACGAACAAGAAGACGGAAATCGTTTTTATCTTAGAAAAGACAAAATCACTAAATGGTCAAAGGAGAAGACTCGTGAGCAGGTGAGAAGTTAGAAGAGTTACAACCGTTTTAACTTTCTCATAAAATGTCTAAGGTTTGACAATATAAATACCAGCGAAGAAAGAATATTGCTGGACAAGTTTGCTCCCATTAGAAGTATTTGTAATCAGTTCAATAATAATTGCCTCGCAAATTATTCGCTTAGCGAATTCACCACCATTGATGAACAACTTTTAAATTTTAGGGGTAGATGCTCTTTTCGAAAGTAGCCAGATGGTCCTTTTCAAGTTAGCTATAAGCCCATTGATATTGTGCAGCGTTTGTGTCGTATACTCTTCGGTTCAGGAAGAAACATCACAACGTACAACTGGTATACCAGCATACCATTAGCAGAAACATTACTATCTCATAAATTATCGTTAGTGGGTACAATCAGAAAAACAAAAAAGAGATACCACCATGCTTTGTCACTAATAAGGTTCCTGAGCAATCTCTATTCGGATTCCATCAAAAAATACCAATGACTCTCGTTTCATATTGCCCAAAGCAAAATAAAAATGTAATTTTATTATCAACTATGCACATAAATGACAATATTGTAGTTGAAGTTTCTCCAAATGTGAACAAGCCTGACATAATATTATTTTATAATAAAACCAAGAGTGGGGTTTATAGTATAGACCAAAAATGCCAGACATATAATGTGTCAAGAACTTGTAGTCGTTGGTAATTGAGGATATTTTATCATTTGTTAAATACAGCTGCAATTAATTCCTACATTGTTTATTTCTCTGATAATCCTACTAAAAAAATTCCCAGATCGAAGTTTCTAGAAGAGATTGGATTTACTCTGGTACAACCACAGATGGAAGTTAGGTCACAAATACAATCTATTCCAAACTGTTTGAAAAGCGTCCTAGGTAATGCAGGAACAAACAATGATAATATGCCTATAAAAAAGGCAAGATGCACTATATGTCCACGAGAAAAAGACATTAAATGTAAGAGTGGTTGCAAAAATTGCAAAAAAAATATGTGCCTAAGCCATATGAACACAATATGTGATGCATGCTACCGAGGCCAGTAAATTTCTTCTAAGTTTGTTTATTGTTCTTTATATATAATTTTTGCTTTCACCTTTTTTACTTTATTTATTTATTTTTTTTTTATTTTTGCTCAGTTGTGTGCAAATCTATGTTTATAAAATTCAGCGACTACACATGTAGACTGCAATATTTGCTGAAATAAATAGTTTTATTTTGTGACAAACTTTTAACATTATATACCTGAAATATAAAAAAAGTTTGGATTTTATTACTTTAAACAAAAAGTAAGATAAAATAATGGGGTGCTGCAGACACCCCGCGAGTTGACACGTTCCTGAAATAGGCGCGAGTAACGGAGGGTCAAGAAGCATGTTTTGAAGTTCTGTAAGACTTTATGGCTGGCCTAATTGACTTCTAACCCTACAATGAAGTTCATCCCAAAGATGTTGGATGACATTCAGATCAGGGCTGCAGGCTACCTATTCTAGAGTCTTAATTCCTTCTTCCCTGAAGTAATTTTTTAAGATTCTTGCAGTACGCGGCATTGCATTATCATGAATAAAGACGAAATTGTGCCCAATAAATTGACAAAATGAAACTACTGCCAAAACATTGCCATTGATCAAAATAAGTTCAGTTTGAGCTTCAAATGAGATTTCAGCCCAAACCATGACACCAGCACCGCCAAACTTTATTCTCTGGAATATACAAGCTTAAGAATATCTTTTGTTTCTCCATGTCCAAATCCTCTTTCGGCTATCGACAGACTTTAAACAGAACTACGATTCATCAGTAAGGAGAATTCGGCTACAATTCTCTATATCCCAGTGTTAATGTTGTCAAGCAAAACTTAATCGATTCCTACAGTGTCTGGGTTGGAATTCGGGAACAATAGCCCGCTTTCTTGCCATTAGTCTTCTTTCTGCAGAAGGGTTTTCTCAGCAATTACAATGGAATGGCGATTTCATAGAAGTTTCATCACAATGAAACGATCATCTCTTTGTGAGGTAACTCTTCTACGATCGGAACCAGGTCAACGTGACTATGTATCAGTCTCTATAAAGCGAAAGAAAGCTTTCCGTACTGTAGTTCTCGGAATACCTAAGGTCTTGTAGCAATGCAATAATTCGAGCAACATCTACTGTTAATAATATGTTTTTTACTTAAAAGATAAACAGAAACTACAAAAAACAACAACATAAAAGCTAATACTGTCAAAAACACGCATACGTAATTGCAATAAATATTTATATTGAGACGCAATATGAAACAGTGCATAAAACTATAGATAAAACTTTCAATGAATTTTTATTTTCGGAAATTTATTCTTCTTCTACTAGTGCCCATCCTCTATGGATCTTGCCTACCACAATGGCCCATCGTATTTTATTACCAGCTGTTCGAAATAGGTCTGTGGTGGTCATACCTGTCCACTGTCTCAAATTCTTAAGACAGGATATTCGGCGGCGTCCTGATCCTCTATTTCCTTCTATTTTCCCTTCTAATATCAATAGTCATCATCAATTAGCCAATCGCGTCCATTTCTGGACATAGGCCTCCCTCAGTTCTTTTCAGTGTTCTCTACACTGTGCCGCTTGTAGCCAGTTTCCCGCTACACGTTTTATATCATCGGTCCATCTAGTCGGTGGTCGTCCTCGGCTTCTCTTATAGTTCCTGGTCCTCCATTCCATAATACGTCTTGTCCACCGTCCATCTTGGACGGTGAACATATCAATAGTAGGATTCTGTATTTATTTTCATTTCTCACTATATGTCCGAGCTATGCTAATTTGCTCTCTTTAATGGATTTCAAGACTTCAGGTTCTCTTTGTAAACGTTGCATTACTGCGTCGTTAGATATATGATGTGCATATAATATTATGAGCAAGCGACGATAGCACCACATCTCGAAAGACTGCAACCGTCTGTAAGACGCATCAGTGAGTGTACATGCCTCTGCTCCATACATAAGAACAAAAAACACATAACAATTAAGGAATTTGAGTCGGAGATGTAAGTTCAAGGTCAATTGGGGAGAACTTTCTTCATCTGTTGGAAAACACTCCTTGCTTTTTCGATACTACATTTATTCTCGGATGAGTGATCCCAGCTGTCTGTGATATTGCATCCTACAGTAAATTCAACTTCAAGTTACGGACATAATCAACACAAGTCACCGCGTGATATTCGAGTCTACACGTGACGAACGCCTTGCTATTGACCAAATTAACGAACGATCGTAAGTCATGCAGTTAGCCCTAACAGGTGCGGACTTCATTTTTCCGCTCCGTCCTCTGTCGAATACGAAATGGCCCAGTAATTTTTGTGCAAAGCTGTTTGTTGGTTTGTTTATTTGTTAATTGTTAGCTCGTGTGTGGATTGTGCAAATCATTTTTAAGAACATTTAATTATAGTCGATACAAACTTTTTCCCCACTTTAAAATAATTAGTGTAAGTATAACAAAGCATTTATAATAGCCAACAATGCATGCCCCTTACCATTCCATAAAATTGGAAAAAAATTCCCATTATGGCTACAAAAAAGGCAGATATTCAAAATTGGCTTCGCTTAAAAGACATTCCCTTTAAAGAAACGATGTGAAAGGTGCAACTTTTAGAAATCGTTAAACAACATAAAGGCGAATATAATAAGTGCACAGTAGATGAACTGGTAAGAAGCACATGTAGAATAGTTTTAAGGTTGCCACCGTATCACTGCGAGCTCAATCCAATCGAGCTTGTATGGTCGGAAGTTAAGAATTATGTAGCATGGCGTAACACAACATTTAAATTTGCTGACATTAAAAATTTATTCCATAAAGCTATGTCTGCTGTAACCATGGAAAAATGGAAAAACTGCGTCAAACATGTAAAAGAAGAAGTGGAGCCAAATATGTGGGAATTGGACAATTTAATTGAGGCACAAATTAAGATTATCATTATCAACTTTAATTATGACAGCAGTACATCAGATTCTGAAAGTTAAGATAAAATACGGTAATTTTATAAACTTTTTTTTATATACTTTATTTTGTTGTTAATAATTCTCTACTTTGTCTCTACTTCCTCTACTTTATATTTAAAAATTTGGTGTACTATAATCTGTACCTCAGACGTCTACAAATTATATAAGGTTTTGTATTGCAGCTTTAATTTACTAGTCCGGCCCTGAACAAACGCGTGTTTCCAGCGTGCATTTGTTTCCATCGTCCGTAGCTTGAAGTTAAATTTACTGTAGGTATGTTATTTTTTCTGTTCTATCCAATAACTTATTGTCTACCATAAACTTTGCAACTTGGTTTTTGCTGATGATCATAATTTTCGTCTTCTTATTATTAAATTTCATTCCATATTTTCTACCTATGTTAAGTACTTGATCTATCAGTCTTTGTAATCCTTCAGCACTATCCGCAACAAGGACAGTGTCATCTGCATATCTTAGATTATTTATTACTTCACCGTTAACAATCACGCCATTAGTCATTTCTCCCAAAGCTTCTCGAAATAAATGTTCAGAGTACGCATTAAACAGCAAAGGCGAGAGTATGCAACCTTGTCGTACTCCTCTTTGTATTGGGACTTCATCGTATATTTGATTGTCTACTCAAATCTTGGCTATTTATTTTCTATAGAGATTGGCTACTATTCTTTTCCTTGTCATCGATGTTTGCGATTCGCAAAGTTTAAATAAGCCTTTGCTTATTTAAACCTCATGCTGAACTTTGTCAAATGCCTTTTTGAACATCATGAAACAGGATAAGACATCTGTATTAACATCTTTTGCTCTTTGTATCAATACTTGAATGCTAAAAAGTGCTTCTCTTGTGCCAAGACCGCTGCGAAATCCAAATTGTACATCAGCAATACCCTCCTCTAATTTCTTGTATATGCAAGCATGGATGATGTTTA